TGATATGTAATGGAATAATAAACTTTCTTTCTAAACCTGTCCATTTTAATCAAACTTGAAGAAAACTTGAATGTTTTTTTTTAAATCACTTTAGTTAGCTGCTGATTAACACAACTGTTTTGCTCTTACATTGAACCTCCTCTAATTTTGGGGAGAACTTGGGAATGTGCTAAATATCTAAATATCATTTTTTTGCTCTTTTGTGCACAAATTTAATTTTTAAAAGCCCTTCCTTGAAAATGGATCTGCTACAAACTTAATCTGCCCTTGACTTTGTTCCTTGTGGAAAATCTTTTAGCTGCCAAAGGTAGCTAAAAGATTTTTTCAGCATGGAACATATTTCTAAACTATTCAGCACTGAACCTTCCTTGACTGTTATTGAAAATATTTGTTGAAATATTTTTATTGAAAATCAGTAAACACACAGAATACTTAGAATACATAAAATATCTGTAGGCTGTTTAACTAAGGACACTGCTCCCTCTTAATTAACAGAAACGTATTGTTTGTATTTTCAGCAAATTGTCTGTTTTTATGCTCTCTCTTAAAGGACAGTTGGAAGAGGAGACCCACTACAAGATCACGAGAATGTGACACAGTGGAGTTCTATTGATAATCTTATCCTGATCACCAGTAGGAACAAAGAACACTCTGCTTTCTGTATATATAGTAAGATAGAGCAGTGGTGTTCCTTGGTTTTCACATTTCCTCTAACCTCTGTTGGACTGAGAACACTTCCCATCTGGTGAAAAAAGACCCAACAATGTGTCCTCCTTCTCAGAAAGTCAAATCTTTCTTGCCTATCTACTGAGCTGCTTGAACATTTTTACAGGAACACAACTGAAAGCATCCGGTGCCTAAGCATGACGATGAGGTGTGGAAGCTGCACAGCGCAAAAGAGGAAGGAACTTAGCATGGGTATATAGCACAGCAGAGAGGTTTTTGGGTTACTGTCTACCAGATCTGGATTTGGTTTATGCTGCCCAAGCCCAGAAAAGGGTCAGATACTTTACTATATATCCTACACACCCAGGCAATGCACTCTTGTCCTTCTATACAGGAACAGTCAATGAAAAACAAATATGCATATAAATTGTTTATTTCCCAAAGCTGTGCAGGCAATCATCTCCATATAGCCTGACATTCCCATTCCATCTCACCTTCAAATAGACATGCACAAACACAATTTCCCCCACACAGTGTAACCCCTGCTGAAAACCAAATAGACCACATGTCCATTTTATAGATTGCTCTGGCACCAGGTGCTCTTTATGTAAACACTACATGCTACATTCCTAAAAACACATTTTTATTACATGGTTTGTATATCTTCAATAAATGCTTGTTTTTTTCTGCTACAGACATGGACAAAATTGTTGGAACCCCTCTTTAAATAAAGAAAAATCCACAATAGTCACAGATATAACTTGAATCTGACTAAAGTGCAAATTCTATTTTTAAAAAATCATGCAAGCCAGACATTGCTTTATAATCCCTTTTCAACAGAATGAATAAGCTCATTAAAAAAAACCTGGACAAAAATCCCAAATAATAT